TCTGAGTGGGTTTTCTCTGGCTTCCTCCCACAATCCAAAGACATGCAGGTTAATTGGTGACTCTAAATTGTCCGTAGGTGTGAATGTGAGTGTGAATAGTTGTCTGTTTCTATGTGTCAGCCCTGTGATAGTCTGGTGACCTGTCCAGGGTGTACCCCGCCTCTTGCCCAATGTCAGCTATAGGCTCCAACCTCAGTGTGACCCTCAACAGAATAAGCAGTTACGGAAAATGAATGAATGTATGATAAGCACCGAGTGTGAGAGCCAAAAGGAGCACAAAGCAAGGTCTGTGGGGTAACTGTTTTTTTTTAAACTGGACTCCTGCCATGTTTTTTTAAAATATATTTTTAGGGCTTTTTTTGCCTTTCATTGACTGGACACTTGTCAGCGTGAAAGGGCAAAGCAAAGGGCCATAGGTTGGAATCATGCCCCACTTGATGATGACTTGTGTGATGGCCTTGGAGTTGGCTTCTAGTGTTGTTTTCCAGCCACATTGAGTTCTTGATGAATGTTATCAGCGTGCTGTGAGTCTTGCATAGTGCCAGACACTCCAGTATCCATGTAGGGGGTACTGAGTTGCACGCTTTCTTCTAGTCGACCCAGGCGGTGCTCAGGTTTGTCTGTCTAGTCTTAGAGTCTTGGGGGACTGCTCTGTAGTCCAGTGGCTGGTGCTTCAAACCCTCAGGTCCTGTGCCCTTCAGAGATTTGCTTTGCCTACTCAGCTTTGCTACTATGATGCCTGAGAGGAGCTTCTGTGTTGTGGAAAAGCAGGTTATAGGGTGGTAGTTTGAAGGTGCTGTATCAGTATTGTCCTGCCTTGTCTTTGCCAGTCTGGGTGAGTGCTGTCTGCTTGAAGCTCACTCATTTGTGCTGCCAGGTGATCATGGAGTGCTTGTAGTTTCTTCATCCAGTAGGAATGTATCATGTCAGGTCCTGGTGCTGTTACACCTGATACTTGTTGTTGGATGTCTGCCTTGGTGATGGTGACAGGTTCTTGTTCTGAGAGGCTGCTGTGACGTGCTCTAAGGTCCACTAGCCACTTGGCATCAGTGTTGTCTTAAACAAAGTCTGAAGGCCTCTAGATGCAGAGCAGGACAAATTAACATGTACTGGCCAGGAAGACATTCAAAAGCACCACAAAGAGGCGCAAAGGAACTTCAAGACACGAATATACCACAAAGAAACGTAGAATTACCTCAAAGAGAAACAAAATTACCACAAAGAAATGCAATGGAACTAAAAAGGGATACAAAACGACTAAGAGAGGCACAAATATTTCAGAGGGACAAAAAATTACCTCAAAAGAAAAACAAAATGACCAAAGAAGACACAAATATATCTAAAGGGACACAAAGTGATCTGAAAAAAAGGACCTTTTGCTATTTGTGCCCAGGGGCCCATTGTCTCATAATCCGTCCACGTTTTTACTCCAGTACATTCATCAAATAACTACAAGTAACTTTGCAGATTCTGATATGATAATATAAAACTGACTAATTAAAGTGATGAGTATACTTATCATCAATAATATGATCTAATAATATAATACACTGAACATTATTGTGAAATAGGCCTTTCTGCATAGTGAGTATTTTTATTTTTTGGTACTTTAAGTATATTTTGATGCTAGTATCTTTATACTTTTACTATGTCAGTTAGATTTTGAATGAGGGACTTTAACTTGTAACAGAGTATTTCTACAATGTGATATTGCTACCTCTGCTTAGGTAAAACGTCTTTTACCGTTGCTGATTTGGCTCAAGCTTTAACCCAAATCCAGGATGTGGCTTCCTACTGAGCAGGGTGCTCTTGGTTCACGGAGTGCCGTGAGGCAGACAATTTTCTCCTGCACCAGGTTTCTTGCTGAGCAGTACATGAGTTTCAGGATTGGAGAAGGCCAGGAATGATTGGAAATAATGAGCCAATTTTGACATATTGAAGATTCATTTTATCATCCAAAAATTGGCTGTAAAAGAATCCCACATGCTGAGATTGTTGCAGTTTTGCTGTACGAGGGAGAGAAATGGTCCACCTGCAGAGCAATCTTGTCTTTCTCGCTAATCTAAGTCACTGCTGTGATGTGAGTAGCCTCTACAACTGCCTCAATTTCAAGATTGCCTGGACTGCTGCTGCTTCGTATTAATACAATTATCTGCAGAAAAACATCATTATATCAACATGGTGTTTAAATTCCTTTGTCCCTCCTGCATCCTGGACTCAATCATGTACATGTGCATGTAACTGTTCTTCTCCTTCTCTGCATTGTTTCCCTTCTTACAGATTATTTCATCTCTGTATTGTTTTTTCCCCTTTGTTTTGCTGTTGTTCTTTGTAAAGCGTCTGAGTATCTAGAAAAGCGTTTTATAAATCCAGTGTATTGTTATTATTATTTTGAAGATAGAATAATTATCTTTTCTATCATGCAAAGGAAATATCACAGAGCTACAGCTTTAAAACAGAGGATGCAGAATGGTGAGAGGATGTGTTCAGGTTGTTTAAAACCATCAAAGCAAAATAATCCAGGTTCCTACTGCAATGTCTGTATTTATTTCTGCCCATTTTTGGGGTTGGAGGTGGGGGGAATGAACACAAATCTGCACCAGAGTAGTAGAAATAACATCATACTTACAACAGTAAATATACTATAAACTCCACCAGTACAAAATACATACAAGAAAAAAAAAAGTGCTGTGTTTTCACACTTGGTCCTTTTCGGCCGTCTAAGCCGACTCAGAGCAGTGACACATCATTTTTTGCACACATGTGAACACTCCAAGAGAATCCCTCTGAAGTGAACCAAACACAGACCATCTCGGGGAGTGGTCGCTTTGCTCTTTGCCATTGTATTTAGCCCTCTAGATGACATGCTGTTGCACTGGGATGCTTATAAAAACAGATGAAACCACGCTGGCCTGTAACACTTGCAAAGATGCTGGACGAGGCAGAGTTTGGTTCACGGGAGATACTGCACGTCTCCAGATGTGGAATGTAGAATACATCAAACAGCAACAGTCTACTGCGCAGAAACACACAGGGTTTCCTCCAATTTTAAGTCTATTGGAAAGACAGGGGCTTCATGACCGCACTGCAGTGACACAATTAAGGCTATAGTGTGAACAGAAAGAGGACTGAGGCTCCATCAGAGCTGAAATGGACCAGAAAGAGAACTGAATCCCTTTTGTGTTGGTCCACTTTAGGTGCACTTTAAGAGGACTGAGTTCAGTTAATTTAAAAAGGACAATATGTGAAAACACCCTTAAAGACAGCACATCAGCATGCAAGAACACGTCAGTGACTCTTATCAATGGTTTACTTTGTACTTACATTCTCTCCCCACCAGATGGAAGCTGTGTTCCACTGTGATTTCCTCTCCAACCCTACCACTCATGTTAAGGACACCTGTGTCTGAATAATGACTCAACTGCAATAAATTATTGCCAGTTCCCCTAAAGCGGTGTCTTAAATATCACATTCACGGTTAATAATCCATATTGACAAAAAAATGTTCTCTCACAGAAACTGGAAGCTGAAGAAACAGGGCTTAGGAGATAGCTCTGGATATTTCGCCTCCATAGGCAGCTGGTTATCTCTCTGCTTTGGCACAGTGTGTGTGCATGTTAATAAATTCAGCTGTTGTGGGAAAACTTTACAGTTCCAAAGTACATGTGTAGGAAGGCCTATTTGAGTAGCAGCGTAAAAGTGTTGGTATGTGATGAACATATGCAGTTGTGAAGTGTGTTTGGCTCTGGTGAGTTTGGCCATATTGAGGCTGTTTCAGAGCCACTGAACAGCTGCTGTGTTTAGGCCTCGAGGGGCGTTGAGGAAAGGTGCCCTAAACGCTCCTCCCAAACATATGTCAACATCTGACAACAGCTTTAAGCTTTCATTATTTCTGTACAACCTAGGGTCATGATTCAGGAAAGTGTATTTGTGAACACCCCAATTGAGCATGAATACCACATTTGATTACAGTGGCTTTGCCTTGAGATGCAAAACGCAATTTTTCAGATGGGGATTTTAAATTGGCAAAAGTAAAATGAATATATAGACATTTTAAAAGGAAATAAAAGTCAGGATATAGCAAGCACAACATTTCAGGGAAGCACGCAGATTTAAATTTCACATCAAAGAAATCCTTCAACCCCCTGAATCACCATTTGTATATCAATAACTCAGTCAGTGTCACATTGAATTTGTGAGGAAAACTGTTTTTCTTGCATTACTCAGAGGAATGAAGAATCTAAAAACTAACTGATTGAGGCAGTGGTAGATCAGAAGCTTCCATGTTCTGCAAGGTAAAACCACTACTTTTGTCAATGGAGTTTGGCTTTGACGAGAGCATAGATAAGTTTCACTTTTAGTTCAGTTCCCCGTCAAAAGAGGCTGTCTGACAGCATGGTAATGTCGTGTTTGGGAAGTACTGAGCCTTAAAGGTGGATTTACACTTGTGCGTCAGCTCTGTGCAGAGCATATGCCATAGCCTACGCATGTGTCCTACGCCATTGTGAGCATTTATACTTGTGCAGTGGTGTGTCTGTGTAACTCTGCAGTTACACCTCCACAACACTAGTTGGTTTCAGAGGTTTCTGTGAAGTGCTGTAAAGTTTAGTTGATTCAAAACACACATTAAACACACATTAAACATGGCTTAATAGAGACAATTTCAAACACAAGTACACAAATCAGCTTCACTATAACTCGCAGCATTCACAAAGCACTTGTCTTTATCTGGACACATTTTCCCCACAAATACAACATACTAATGTTATTAGCACAAGCCTATGGCATTTTACATTGTATAAATTAGCATAGTGGCTAGTGGACATTCCCTCTACTCATATGAAGCCAGGGACAACAGCAACATTTAACAAAGGTAGTGTTACATAATTTGGCTCCATTACAACTCACATGGTTCACTGACAAAACAACTGTCTTAAACTAAACACGTTTTCCAAACAAATATAACATGCTAACATCATTAGCACAAGCCTATGGCATTTTACATTGTATAAATTAGCCTAGTGACTGCCTTAGATTTCCTCTGCTCATATGAAGCCAGGATGAATCACAAACAAAACTTAAAAAGACAAGTCACAGAATTCAATTCCAGCAAATTGTGTGCAAAGAATTGTAGGTACTTCAAGCCCACCAAGGACACACACACGTGCATTCTTGAAAATTTTCTGAAGGAAGGGTTTGGTCCTCAGTAGAATTTGAAGGCCTCTTGACATTGAAACAGACCTTCACTGGAGTGACGACATAGCCTCCTTCAAATTCAGCCGTTTTTAGCATCCTTCCTTCATTCTGAGAAGCACCACTGGATTATACTGCATGAGAAAAGGTGTTTTTACATTTTGTCTATCACAATACAGTTGCACATACATGAGGAGGACCAAATATATCTATATAAGAGCCTGGGGGAGAACCTACTATGAAGCAGCTGCAGGCATGTGACATATGTACATGGGCGTGCCAAGTTTGAGGCCAACTTGTTGCTTGCACTTTTATGCATTCTTCACTCACTGGGTCCACACCATCACCACGCCAGTGTTCACCAAAAGCTGGAGTCTGCACACCATTTGATGGGTTTCACAGCTGGCAATCTGCCACTAAATTTGAGCTGCAAGAGAGGCAGATACATCACCACGACCATGTGGCCCATACAAAGACAAACAAATCAAGTGAAACTGATAGGACAGAGAAGGGATGAATGTCATTCAGGCTTATATAACATCATAATGTGAATATTTTTTCCCATGCATCATTTGTCAACAACAAAACTACCAAAGCTTTCGCCCTGTTGGCTGACATTGTTGTTTGTTTTTGCAGCTGACAATTATGTGTTGCTGCATCTGCCTGAGGGATTACTCTCCATTGAAAACAGCTTTCCTGGCCCTCGCTGTTACGTGTTGAGCGGTGCACCAGTGCACTGAAATAGAGCAGACCCACTGATTTTCTTTCACTAAAACACTGTTAGAGAGGAATGGACTTCACTGTAGCTCTGACAACTCAAGACAACATGGAGTAGATTGGAAATTGGTTTACAAGACTGCAACAAAACTCTAGATACAGCTGATAATGTAATAATATCAAATTTAAAAGGGAAATGCAAAAAAAATGTAATTAATTTAATTAATTGTACACACTGTGACAAGAGCGCTGTCATGGTCTGTCCTTTGTCCCTCCTTTGTCCCTCCTCTTCAGCCCAATCCCTGCTTCCCCAGTGACTATTAATTGCCATTTTCCATCCATTAACCAGATACCCTCGTACTTTCCCTCCTATTCCCATTACCTGACTGCTACACCCATCCACACACCTGTTCCCACTTCCCTAATCAACTCTGCCTGGCCTTCCCCAGCCACCTTCTCACCTGCATGTTATTCACTTGTTAGCCACTATCCACACATACCAGTTCACCTCCTTTTGTTCTTTGACAGTTCATTGTTGGAATATGTATGGGGGTCTGGCCTCTCAGCTTGTAAGCCATTTTACATTAATCACTGAGTTCTGTTTGCGTTCACAGATGTTCCCATTCAGGTGGGAGAAAAAGCCCCTGCAGCAAGCAGGTTTGTAGGACAGCCCTAAGCAAGGACTCCCGCCGAGATGATGACAGAGTTCAAGTGAACTTGATCTTCACTGAGCGGGTGCTGTTCAAAGCATCTGAAGTTAAAAAAATAAAAATAAAATCATCCAAGAGAAAATCGAACATTTCTTCCTTAAAGCAGCTGTGCAGAACTTTTTACCATTAATAAAATTGTCCCTAGTTCGTATCACCCCCCCTTGAAGATCCGCATATTTATTTGAACCCAACAGCGACAAAAAAGCCTTTCTCTATATGGCTATTTAGCGTAGCCTCGCTCGGGTCGGATACACAGCGGAAGTCAGCAAACCAGAATAAGGCACCCGAGGCGGAAGTGATTCTGCTCGCCCACAGCGGCCCGCAGCAATTAAACCACAGAAGAAGGAGCCTTGTTTACAGTGTTCTTCGAGTAAGCAGTACACAACGGGCATTGCTGAACACATAACACCTAACAGTTTTACCAGAGATGTATCTATGAGGACCTGGTTGTACTTTTGATGTCATGGTGGATAACGAAGGAGCATCATGTAAAATTATCTGTGACTGTGACCATGAACACAAATATACAGCAGGCAGTTGTCCTCAGTTTATAAGAAATTCAGAGCTACACCAGAACATTTATGAACAGGTCTTACTTTACTACTAATTTGTGTGTAACATTAGCATGTTTCCACTAATTACTTGGACTGACCTAACGTTAGTAGCGTTAGCTTTGCAAGTGAAGGCTGCAGGTAACAGCTTTGCTGTGTTAGGATTATGTTATGTCTTCACTGTGTATCTTCACATAAAAGAATACTCCGACGATTTGGGAGTTATGCCCTTTCTCTATCATTTTCATATTGAGACAACATGATCGATATCTTTTTTGTGTCTGTACGTCCAGTGGCTGGGTCTCAGCGGTTAGCAT